ATATTTCACACAACAGTGACCATGGTTCCCTGGACACTGCGCTGGAGGCCGAGCTCCGAAGCAATCATATCAATGCTCACAAATAATATGGCTGATGGCAACTCAGATGCGAATTTCGCTGCTGCGGACTTCGAGCTTTTCACGGCCAACTCACCGTGCACGAAGTGGGGAGAAGGCTCTCCTGCGGTTACACGCACAATTTTCTCCAATACTCAGGCTTAAAACCATGTAGCTCTTGGCCACAGTACCAAATCGCTTCACATGTTCGGGCTTCTGAGGTGTCTGTCTCGCGAGAGTTCCCCAGAGATTGCGTGGCTTGCCCGCCGTAGCTCCCGAAGCTCTCGCATGAGTCCCAAGTAGTCATCCAGCCCTTTTTCTGGCTTCATCCCTTCTGAAGCCCCATTCTCATACGTCCTTATTGCCATTCGCTGCACATTCTCCGCACACAAAGAAGGCAGGCAGCACTGCACACAATGGTGGGGAGAATCTATCGGGGTGGAGTCCTACTGGCAAGGCGCGTGCAGCGAAGGAATGAGAGGCGCATCGTCGCACCTCCCCAGCGTTAGATGTCACGAAATAATCTGCAGCGCTGTCTAAAGAGTCTTGTTTCCACAGATGGCCTCGAGGTGGGGAATCTCCATAACGCCAGGAATACAGGGGGTTACTTCCACTTTCTCTACTATGCGGGTTCTCTCTCTCCCACTGATGAGGGATAGGTGCGCCAAGACTGGGGCTGTTGGCGGCCTCAGAGTTTTGAGCCATTCCAACTGTCGGGCCTATGCTGTTCCACACGGACTGCTTATTTTCTATTGCCTCTTCACTTTCGGCTGGAAATGAAGTTGTTGTATCTTCAGCCCACCAGTGGTTTGATTCGTGTAGTCTATAGGAGTGTACCCCTGTCTCTGGGTTCCAAAGCAGCTCCTGGCATGCATCTTCCACAAGGTCCATTGTGAGTCTGTTCCGTAGGAGCAGCCGAGGAATAGTGCCGCCCCTTGCAACTCGGTGGCACAATAAGTTGTATATGCTTTCTGTGGGAATTCCTCTACTTACGGCCGTGTCTGCTGCTTGTTGAGAGTGCAACCGAATGAGCTTCAAAACTTCTTTCCTTATGTAGTGTTTTAAATAGAAGTGCTGGGCAAAATGGCCAGTCACCACAAGAAGTGAGAGCATCATCAAGAGCGCCAGAAAATGTTCTTGAGCCAGTTGGCTTATTCTGCAGCTCAGAGGCTTCCTTAGGTCTGAGCCTTTGTAAGTGTAGGTGAAAGTGATTCCTTTAGATCTGCTTTGTTCCTTCATAAGGCGCTCGTGAAGTCCAGGGAAGTCCACTGGATTTGCAAGTGGAACAAAGAGATATTGCCTTTCCACCTGGGCACGCGCCGCAAGCCACAGATCACTGAAACTAAGAGCCTCCACTTGGTACAAGCTCGAAATTCAAGCGCTCTACAGTGCGAAACATTGCAACGCTCGCTGTTGAAACTCTGTACTTTACCAAAAGTTTTATGAGGGCGTATGCAGACTGCAAAGTCCTTTAGCGTGTATATTTGGCCTTCTTCTATCAGGTTTTTTCTGACCTGAATATTCAATTCATCAGCAGCCTCTGGGGCCAAAAAATGGTAGAAGAGCCAGAAGTAAACTCCCTCGTGCGCAATAGCTGGAGCAATCTCCGGATGAAAGTGCATCTGCCAGCGAGTGAGGCCAGAGCCACTACACATCTGTTTGATAGCGTTGCTCCATGGCTTTCCTCCAAGCTGCTCCGATGGGCTAAAGAGAGGATCTAGAGGGAGACCGCATTCGTACCTTCCTTGTCTTTCCTTAAGAACCTCCATCAGTGTTTTAAGAACTTCTTCTGCTTTGGCTTTTGATGCAAGGTCCTCGGTGCAGGTTTGTAATGATGTTCCTTTTGTTTTCGAAGACTTATTTTCCTGACTATTCGTATATCCAGGGAGGCAATTAAGCTTCCCGTTTTTACATTCCGCATTTTCAGGACAGAAAGTACAATTTTGGGGTGTTGTGCTGCCTTCTGTGGCATCGTCGCTGTCACAGAAAACCGTTTCACCATCCTCTCTTGTAGCAATTTCTTCATGAGCAGGGATGGTGTCCTGCTGGGCTGATTTGCCTTCAGGTTTGCGAAGAATAAAAATCGTTGCGAGGATAGCAATCTGCAGAGCGAATTTCCAAGCTGCAAGATTTCGGCCTGTGATAGATCTCCTTCGTTGGGGCGTTTTTTCATTAGCTACAGTACTATCTTTCTCAGGAGGAATTCCACTGCTAATGATGCTTGCTCCCCTCTCGAACGGAATTTGCTGAGGGCAAATCAACGAAGAAGATACTCGCTGGCCTTGGCCCTCAATCCTGGCTTCGCATTAGAAAAGTCACGAACAAACAGGCCGTATTTGGAGTGTGTTTCTCGCAAAAAGTGTGCTGCTCGTCTTCTTCTCAAATTATATCAAAATTAGGAATGGATAGAGACTCAGCTACTCCTGCTTTTGTGGCCTACATGCCTAGTTACACACCCTTGTTGTTGATTTATCAAACTCTCTAGAGCGCGATAGCGGCTTCAGTCCTCCTCTGCCTACAACGCGAAGCACTCCGGGAGCTTTTAAGTCAGAACGCGAAAGCCGCATGCAACAAGAGGGACTGTAGACGTCAGTTGATCGCTTCTAAAATGCATGGCTTAAGAGCACTCACTTTCCGTATCAGTAGCAGCGTTTATTTCCTTAGTCATTTCTGACGAGTCGAGTCAATTTGTACCACGTGGCAGTTGACTGATAAACGAACCAACTGAGGATGCAAGTGCTTCGACTTCGCGTTTTTTAATTTAAAAAAGTAATCATGAATACAGCAAAACACAGCATGTGAAGTTAACGCGCGCTACTTAGCTCCGTGACAGCGTTTGTCGCGGCACCAGCTGTTTGCACATTTCTTGCCCCATCCAGAACAAGGGGCTAGCCGAGTTCTTAAGCGTTATTTCAGTTAATAAGTGCTATTCTTGCAGCAAAAGAGCGACTCATTTCTTCCCTGCTTGGTAAGGAAGGTGATGGAGCCCGGTGAAGAGAATCTCAATCCAGCCGATACACGTCCTGAAAAGCGATGAAATTATGAAGTTCCTCCCTTTAGGCCGGTTCCGATATGCGAAAAGAATTGATCGAGACTCAGGGAGCTGGGTGTTGCATTCCTTTTGCTAATAGGCTCTTACAAGGATAGCACGAGTGCCCGGCGCCGACACTGAACATTCACCTGATTCTACGACCTGGCCTACCTAGTTAACTAAAAAGTGATAATGTCAAGAACTCCGTTAAGGGTCCTTTGGAAAGTTCGGGCTCTCCTTACTGGGGCTTCAAATTGACTCAAACGCAAGTGACTCCATCACGCGCCTTGCGGTGCTGGCTGTCCATAGGCCAGTCAGCAGCAAAAGCAAGCAAAACCCCCCCAAGCTCCTTTCTAATAACCACATCTCTAAACTTTACGTATAATAGTTTTGTGTTGCGGACATCACCCTCATGTAAGCTGCCACGAGTGCTACCAGGCACTATCTCTTCGGGATGGTAAGTGGAAGTCAGTGACCTAAGGACCTTTGCACCAGTAAGCTTGCTTGGATGAATTTCGTGACTTATTTCTTCCAAAGACTTTTTAGTGAGGTTTCTACACATTTCAGCGGAACGACGGTACTGTCATGAAACAGCTTTTTGAGCCAGTCGTGCCTCCCATTGTCTCTCCACCACCGTGCGCGACTGCCGATCAACAGTGCAAATATTTTCCCTCTTATGTGTTTATTTCACGTGGGAAGGGTAGCCTCGTGGTTTTCCCCATGCAGTCACTGACGCATCTGCACTGCGGAAACGCCGAAGGAGAGCTCCAGCTTGGTTCAACAGCCACTGCAGTAGATTGCTGTAGCTGCTTGCTCTAAGCTCTTTGGCAGGCCACCAAAAGGTCAACCATAATTGCAAGATGCTGTTTGCCTTCTGAAGGGCAACATTTTTGGCAGCACTGCCGTGAACTGGTGGTATCGTGTGATTTACAACGGCACAACGGCTACACCGTTTCCCGAAATCTTCTCGACCCAGCTGAGTAAACTCCTTTTATTTCCTATAAGTTCTTTTGTTATTCTATCCTCAAGATCCACTATCTGCCTCAAGCAGCAGTGTCGCGGATGCAGCAGAACTCGCACACCTTCGATCGCCCATGCAGTGACACCTGGCCACCTACTTCGGCAGCTCTACGCGCTCAGTTGCGGTGTTCAGGCTGGGCAAAATTAAGTAGATATTTAGAACTGTTTGCGTTGCTGGCTGTGAGCATTCTTTTGACAATCTGCTCGCGAATTGCTTCATCTTCGTGTCCCGGCGTGTGGATTCGGAAGGCGTGCGGCGTAACGCGCACCCTCAAATTCATTAAAATGACCATTTCAAGGATTTGACGTAGCCCCTGACAGGTTTGGGTCTCATGCACAAGCATAGCCAAATAGCCTACCCTGCATAGAGCATGCCAAAATTCTGTTGGCGCTTTCTTCTAGAGCTGTCCATTGCTTTTGGTTGGCTCTTGGCTTCCTAAACTCTAGCATCGACTAAAAATTCTGGTTCCTAGGCAGTTAGCGATACGAACGGCAAAATGTAGGGTGAGAAATGCAGAGGGGGATAATACATTTGCGTGTATCGAGTCGCTGGACACCTTGGGCCAGTAAAAGCCAGAAGCTTGTATAGAATAAAGCGATGTCGCACACGCTTTTGTGAGAAAAACTGTTGGCAGACATGAGGTAGAGATCCAAGGCTGCTTCAGTAATTCCCACAGAGTTTTTTTGGAGAGTTCCAGTGCAGCAACGAGCTCCCTTCTTTATAATGCAGAAAATTCTTGTTCTCTGTAAGCATTTCTTGGACTCGCATTAGGAAGGATTTGTTACTCTTAGTTGTGTCAGGAGGCTGCTTTCCGTGCATATCATTGGTAGCGCTAGATTAAGTACTTCCATAGTCCACCACTAACTTTCGTCCGCAGCCATTTTGCTGCTTTCAGCCTGCCGTATTTTCGTTGCTTTCCTGCTCCTCCTCCTCATTCTGTATCTCACTGAGCTCATTTTCCCGCTGTGCATTCGCTTCACGTAAGGCCCTTGCTGCCTTCAGTTCATCCGAGGTCACTGCACTGCCGTTAATCCAGTGCAATCGAGGAAGAACTCGTAAGATTTCTGCCCTAAAATGCTCCTCCTCCATATACGGGTCTGTAGAGGATAGGCAAACTTCTCTAAGCTTAGGGAGTAGAACCAGAATGTTGATCTGGTCCGGAGGAAGGGGAACGCCCTCCAGATCCAGAGTTTTGATTTGGGGTAGCTGCTGTAGCTGTCGTAGCTGCTGCATCGGTGTGTGCGATAAGTAAAGGGATGTTATGGTGTCAGATGGGGGCAAGGAATCTAGAGTTTCCAACGGTGTCCCTCGAAGGCTTAAGTGGGTTAGGGAAGGCGGCTGCACAAAACCCTCTAGTGTGGTAATAGGGTTCGCATCAAGAGCAAGACGCGCAAGTCTCTGCAGGGCCAACCGCGGAACCCTAGATATTTTATTACTGCTAAGATTTAGGAGGAAGAGGTACGGAAGTGCCTCTGGAGATGAAAAACATGTAATATCTTCTATTTGGTTCCCTGCTGCGTTCAACGTCAGCAGATAGGGAAGCCTGGAGAAAGGAGTCAAGTCTCTGATTCTGTTGCCAGATATATCAATGTACCGCAGGTGTACGTACAGCTGCAATGCATTCGGTAACGTAGTCACGCCCTTCCCGCAGCAAGTCAGCCGGGTGAAGGCATACCCGCTTCCATCAGCAGTACGAGAGACGTCCCCAAGAGCCTTGTGCAGTAGATCACCACGAAGTAAAGTCCCTCCTGCCTCTGCTCCTGCAGAGGAGTCACCTGCTTCTCTAGCTCTTCTTCCCCTTGCCATCCCTGCCACCCTTACACAACGGATTCCACTTGGCTATGGTAACCCACTCAGTAGCAAAAGAACAGAGTGGGGTTCCTGAAGGAATCTTAGTTCTCACTTCCTGTGTACATTATACGACGTGTGTCGTTGCAGGTTGGGCAGCCCTTATGGCCACATTTCCCGAATTCAAACGACGGGCAGCGACGAGTGCCAACCCAAAGTTTCACTTTTGGGTCAAGAGACCTCAGATCATCACCTTATTATGGAACCGGCAGTAACTGTGGAAATGGAAAAAGAGCAACCGCTCCAAAGTACCCTCCCGGCTAACTAACAAACTTCGATCGTGGCGGCAACTCAGGGGCAAAGCCAGGCTCAAGCTGTCTGCACGCTGGTACACCTCTGTGCAATGTTTGCTTATAGCCTTCAAAAATAAAAGAACACTTTTCAGTTTGATTTGCTGTAAGGGCAACGGTGCTGCTTCATCCTTGATGCTCTTCGCCAAGGTCACAAAGGTCACGTGCTTGACGGGCTGTCAACGGCGGCGCTCTAAGGGAGCAATCTTGCCAATTACTATGAAAAGGTGAGTTTTCAAGTACTTTTCACTGTATTCCTATATTATAGAATGAAACTGGCGATAATGTTCTAGACGCTGCGATTTTACCTGGACGCTGCGGAACTTTCTCGTGCCAAATTGCCGCACGGTTGCCCATATGCTCCTGGCTCCTATTTCAAAATTGAGTGTATTAGAAGTGTTTTCTCCCTCATATAATCGCACAATAATACATTGGTATCATCAACTTCGTACCCAGAGAAAGTGCATCGCCTCCTGTTGCTGTCGTGTCTGTTATTCTCCGTGTCAGATTGTCTCGTCGTCCACTGTTGCTTCACTGTCAGAGGTAGATGGAAGCTGGCGATGGTCCAGCATGTGCATTCCTAAGGAGGCAGCATGTTACTGTTGCAGATGTTGCTGCACGTCTCGTTCCCTCGCTGTACCATGGGTCTGAGTAGCTCGGCGTTGAGATCAAATATTAACAACTGGCAGGCGAGCATACTGGCCATACGCCACGACCACACATTTAGTTCAATTTTCCCTCGAGAGATTGCGTTTATGCGTCATCTGTACTGCGGCAAAGAAAGTGTGGCCTCTAACGCATGAAACACACAGTGTACGTTCTGCAAGGCGAAAATGCCCGTTCACCATCTAGCCTTCTTCTTTCTAAGTATTGTAAAACACCATTGGGCAAGGCCTTTTGATAGCGATTCATCGTGGCCTGACACTTTCCCTATTTCTCTAACGGTTTGAGTAGGTAAATGCTTCCCATGAATGTGTACGCAAACACTCCCCACGAGCGCTAACTGTCAAATGTGAAGCAAGCTTATGGGATGCTGCACAGCGAAATTGTGCTGGAGCTACTGTGCAACTTTCTGAAACAGGACAACTTTCTGAAACAGGACTGAAGAACCACCAACGGATCGGGGATGTAGAATACGGCCTACATTAAATATGAAGCAAGCTTGTGGCATGCTGCAGAGCGAAATTGTACCGGAACTACTTACTATGCACCTTTCTGAAACAGGACTGCAGACTCAGCAACAACTCGGGGATGTAAAATAGGGCCACACTAGATGCATAAGGAATGCCTTGAGCTGACGCTGTGTAGTGAGCGGCTCTGGAGCACCATTCCTGCAAAGGAAGCTGAATTTCAGCGGTCCGGTCCGTCTGCCCCATATTTTGTAAATCATTTTACTGTGGCTGTTTTCCCTGAAGTCTTCCGGTGGATGGGCACTCGAATCCAAATGCACGGCTGCGACTGGTGGCTCTAACGGAACCTATGGTTTTATACATGGGACCAGTTTCTTGCAGAGAGCGGTGACTCTCGTACGATTGGCTCACGTCTTATATATTTATTTGCCTTTGCTGCATAGTCACAGGGAATCTACATTGCTCAGAAGCGTGCATTCTGGGCACCAAATTAAATTATGGAGTGCAATTTTCGAAGTGGCTTTGCAGCAATGGCAGCCTCTCCCACCCAGAGTAGCTCTGGTGGCTCTGGGTACTACTTCGCGCACATCGACTGCCTTCGTGCTAGGGGGCTACAGATGAGCTGGCTGATGAATGACTCAGTCTTTTACAGCCTAGTGGGCTTAATGGCTTTCGCGCCGAAGCAACCGTTACAAACGTCAAACGCAGTGATGTTCCTCCGCAGACTTCCAAAGCTCACGATAATAGTTAGTTACAATAACGCTCTAGGAGACATGGAAAGCAAAAGCCTATGGAGGATTTTATCAGCAGAGTGTATCACAATCATGAATAGGCTTCTGAGTGAACACTAATTTTCATAGTATATATGACAAAGTTGCATAGGTTCTGACAGCAATTTTGAAGGAGAGCAGTCAGTGTATGCGTGTTCTCGTTTCCAAGTTCAAAACAACTGTTTGGGGTCACTTCCTGAGGCGCAGGAGTAGGTGGCTATTGAACAGGCCCTTCCTCAAAAGGATTAGCAGTGGCCTCTACGCTTCTTCATGTTTCTGAAAATTCAGATGTTGGGTATCGCGTATGAGCTACGTATATATCTCTCCCTTCGGACTACTCCGTTGTTCCACGTGGCCACTAATTCTGCCTCTCCATCGAATCGATCCGCGCCGCAGCTAAGAAATTCCATCTTATATTCTCTTTGTGTAACACTGTCTTTCAAAATAGAGCAAGGGACACTGGATCATACTGCAAATGCTCGAGGAGCTCTGGGGTTTGTCTGGAGCCAGGTGGCGTAAACGTGGAAAGCCCCGCTTGCACGACACGCACCTCTCGTGATGCAGCAATTAAAAACTGGGAAAGCGCTTTATATCATTTCAGCTAAGGTTATGGAGGCATGTCTGCTGTATGGATCAGCATGATGTGCGTTCTGTGCAAGTTTTCTTGTCGGCTTGCTACCACGCGCCGGAGCGAAATAGACCCAATGGGTTTCCACAAAAACAGAGAAGGCCAAGAATTGGACCATATCATGTCACCTATCGAAAATCCCTACGAATAATCAGGGAAAGAATTGTTCTTTAGGAGCTAGTCTCCGCCGACTGAGCGCTGGGGTACTGCGACTAGCCCTGGAAAGCCATTGCGCAAGTAGCCCGGGAAAACATGCTGGGATACGACAGCATTTCCGTTCAGTCAGCTGATTAGTTTTGCTATCTGCCTAAATTCCAGGCATCTCCAATGTTCTCCCCGTGGTGTGCTTCTGATCGAGCTACTTTATTCTGAATGCTAACACTGACTATTCGGAAACACCTTTGCTAATGCATACCTTCTCCTGGCTATAAGTCCTAGGGTCATATTTTTTTAAGGCCCCGAATCAATTTTACCGCGGGATAAGCCATTTAGCAGCCGCCTTGTTCACCTTGTATCTACGATTGCCACTGAAATGGACCGACAGCAGCGGCATAGCTCTGTAGCTTCCACAAAGAAAGGTGGACAGAACGACTCAAAGTTCGTTTCTGTTTGTACACGTATTTCCCATCATCAGGCAACAGAAGTAGTAACAACAGTTGCCACTGTATATGCTTTGTTTGGAAATGATCTCAAGTTGTGGGCTACACCAGTGAGTGCTGACTTGCCATTCGACATACTTTCCATCCTGTGCCTGATTATTTTTTCGACGGAAATCTTTGTTAGCTGCGTAGGAAAAGAGAATTATACATGGCATACATTTTTCTGGTTTGATTTAATTTCGACTGGGACTCTAATATTAGATCTATCATGGATATACTATGAAATGTATCTTGTTGTCGAACAGAATGCTGAAGTAGCATCTAGCGATGTAGTGCAAGTGTCACGGGCTGGAAAGGCCGGGTCTCAAGTCGCTAGAGTGCTCAGAGTAATCCGTTTAGTTCGGCTTATTCGAGTTGCAAAACTGTACAAAACTCTTGCACTGCGATTCCAAGCTAAAGACGAAGTTCTGGATCAGCAGGATATGTTCCTCGAACCCGGGGAACGCGCGCCAGATGATGTTGGGCTTGAAGAAGAAGCTGATGCTACAGACGAGGGAGATGAGTATGACAGCAAAATTGGAAAGGAGCTCACGGACAGGACTACCAGGAAAGTGATTTACATAATCCTCGCGATGACGATTGTCCTACCTTTCCTCTCCGAGGAGCAATACATCACAAGAACGAGCTCTGAGCAGTCTGGACTAGACAGCGTCGCGGAATCTGCTACAGCAGCCCGTCGGTACAACACAGCACCTTGGTGGCGGATGTACTCCATGAATACCGTCTACTACATCAATTACCATCGCAAGAACGGCTTAGGCTACGCAGAAGGAGAAATCAACCCCGCAAATTTAGTGTACATGGAGCTTCCGCTTCCTCTCAGACACGTCACTGAATCGGCTGGCCGAGTGTTCGTAGATATGGCATGTCTTGGCTTCAAGAGCTGCGAGCATCCGTTAGAACTCCCACCAGAATGCGCACAGGAATTGCTTCTAGCAAGCGCAGTCAACGGAACAATGCTCACCGATGAGCTGGAGTCGATAGATTCACTCAGGCCTAGTGAAAGGGAAGTTGTTTCTACCGCTTTCTGTCAAGGACCCTCGGAGGAGGTGGCAGGTCCGCTTGATACACAAAAAGCATCATCTTGTGTTTCTGAAAAAATTGCATCTTTCAAGGCAGTTTATGACAAGAGAGAACTTTCTCATCTAGAATCAGCGTTGAGTATGCTTAAAACTGTGTTTGTTTGTCTGATCATGGTCATCGGTACTGTGGCAATCAACCATGATATTAACACTCTCATTTTAAGACCTATAGAGCGAATGATAACAAAAATGAACAAAATCAGAAACAACCCCCTTGCCGCCACCAACATGAATGCAGACAGTGATGGTAAAGAACTTGAGGAAAACGCCGAAAACGCAGAGGGAGATCCTCTCCAAGCGCTAAAAAACTGGATGGGCGGCAAGGGATCGAAAACGCAAAAGGAGAACTACGAGACTGCTATCTTGGAGAAAACCATTATCAAAATCGGGGGTTTACTAGCTCTTGGCTTCGGAGAGGCAGGAGCCGAAATTATTGCCAAAAATATGCACACTGCTGACGGCAACATAAACGCAATGATCGAGGGACGCAAGATGGAAGCAATCTTTGGCTTTTGTGACATACGGAATTTCACAGATGCAACAGAAATACTTAAGGAAAAAGTTATGGTATTTGTGAACCAGATTGCTGAGATCGTCCACGGCACTGTGGACCAGTTTTCAGGCAGCGCCAATAAGAACATAGGTGATGCATTTCTTCTGGTCTGGAAGTTTCCAGAGAGGGAGGTCGCCGATGGCGTTAAAGAGCAAATCATCGACACCGTTACCAGCAATAAGCTGGCAGACATGGCATTGATGTCGTTCGTTAAAGTTGTTGCGGGGATCAACAAGTCATACACATTGGCTGAATACAGAGAAATACCGGAGATCATTGAGCGCATGGGGACGGGCTGGAAGGTTAAGATGGGCTTTGGCCTGCATGTTGGGTGGGCTATTGAGGGTGCCATTGGATCAGAATACAAAATCGACGCGTCGTACTTATCTCCCAATGTAAACATGGCTTCCAGGCTTGAAGCAGCAACCAAGCAGTATGGGGTCACAATCTTGATATCTTCAGATCTATACGATATCATGTCTCCGCAAACGCAGACATACTGTCGCCAAATTGATCGAGCGACCGTAAAGGGCTCCAAAGTACCTCTTGGACTCTACACTGTTGATTTAGACCCTGGTAGGCTCCAGGTTCCCGCAAAGACCCCTGTGACAGTGAACTCCAAAAATACAGTCTTCCTTCAGAGGCAACAGCGTCTCCGAGAAAAGCACAAGCTTTGGTCTAGTCGAACATCGATTTCTGCAATGTTTGAGACCGACCCAGATATTGTATCTATGCGTGAGCACTTGACCAAAGAGTTCCTGGGTACCTTTCGCTCGGGATTTAGGCATTACGAAGCTGGTGAGTGGTACACCGCCAGAGAGATATTCGTCCGCACACAGTACATGCTAGGCGTGGAGGACGGACCGTCAACTGTGCTTCTCCATTTCATGAGCACCAAGAATTACGTTGCCCCTGAAGACTGGGGAGGGTACCGGGAGCTTGTAGAAAAGTAAAATCAGATAGTAACGTCCCATCACCTTCAGATGCCAGCCAGCCACCGGAATGCCTAGAAAGCATGGGCATGCCTCTCAACGAAGCCACAGTCTCAAAGATCGGCATCAAAATTTGAGACTGTGCATTGTGACAACTCTTCACTGGCACGAGTTCAAAAATTACTTTTCCTCCCTTGGATGCCAATGAGCTCTTTATACTGGCTTCCAGAAATATTGTTTTCCTTCAGGCACAACGCCGTATCTGTTGCAATAAATGAGAGGGAACTCTACTGCCAGTCAAATTCAGTGGTTAGCCGCAATTAGTGTACTCGCACGTTGCTCTTCCAAACTATGCATGCTCCTTTGTTGTGCCTGCGTCGTTTCTGGGGTTAATGCACTGCCTTTACATCTCACCATATGCGGCCCTTTGCCAGCGAACAGCATGCTTTCAACTAGGCACAAATGGAATCAAGGTGATTTTCAACTTGACGCCTGTACCCCAAATGCGCAAACTGGGCATGCCGAACTCCGGTAAGAATGCACACCTCATCCCTGCAGCTTCTGCATGGCGACCGCTGCACAGTGAAAATAAAGTTCTGTGTTGTAACGGTAAGGCTTAAATTGATCTTGAAGGCACATCAGCTAAAACTTCTATTTGCAGAGCAAACAGTGTGCTGAGAAATTTTTGTTTACGAGAAGGTAGAGCTGGCGTTGGAAAGATGCCTGAACAGCAGCTCGCGATGGCGTTCGGTCGGTGTAAGCACGGCTGCGCCAAGTGCGATGCGAACATCAGCTGACAAATTCAAAGGTTTCAGCGTGCAGAAAAAACATTCAAAATCCACAGGGTACTCATTTTCTCGAGATAGGTTCACTAACGAGACGTGGTAAGGCGGCTGAAGATGTGCCCATTGACTGGCTAGGAACGACTAGGAAGAGCCTGGGCGTGGGCATAGAAGAAATGCCTTCGGCGACACAGCAATCAGAAGGAAAACCAGAAAAATGACGAATTTCAAGCTGCACTGACTTAAAGTGGAAGAAACAGGCAACTCTAGACTGATCTTCCAGGCTGAACAGTAAACGAAGGAGTCAATGCCATTTCAGCTGGAGGAGTTTATGGTTATGCAGTCTTCATTACACACTGATTGCCATGTACAAGCCTCATACTGCCTGTGGGAAACAGATCCTCGTTAGGAGCTCTCGAGCCTGTCGGCAAAACACTGCAATAAAGGAACAACACCAAAAAGACCCGAAGCCACGCGCACAAACGCATCTCTTTTAACCAGAGGCGGATGGATCTGGTCCAATTGCATAGTTTGCGGCTGCAGAAGAAGAAAACTAATATTTTGCCAGAGCTTATAATTAGTCGCTGCATATGAGCGCGTAGCAGGTCAACTCTGGAGCTCTCCTATAGTTCACAGTGGCGGGGCTGAGCTCCTTCACTTCACTTACACACTGGAATTAGTTGCAGTATGGCTACCTTACAGCGTGGCAGTGATGACCACGGAATGATTTCGTATGCATTGCCCATGTCTTCTTTCCCCGAGTGTGCAGCAGGACTAGCGACGTAGACTCTGCCTCAGCTTCTCTCGGGAGGTGACCTCCAAGTAAATCTGGCGCTGCCGCTCCACTGCGCGGTTTTCTCTCCAGGCAAGATATGTACAACTACAGAACAATGTTTGTTTGTGTGTATGAAATGTATTTGAAGCGAGCTGTTGCTCTTTTACTCAGGCATTTGGATACAGGGATGAGCGTCTCGCCGACCGTTGTTACTTTTTAGTCATAGATCTTGTAAGACGCATAAAGCTACGCAGTTTTTCTCTTCAGGTGTCCGCTGTGATCTTCACCTCATCGGACCTTCCTTGGGATTTCCAGCGCACGCGGTTTCATTGGGTGTTGGTGACCCATCGATTAGCACCAGTAGGCAGGAAATGCCCTTCAGCAAGAACATTGATGCAGCCTTCTACCTACCTGGCAATGACTATGTGCCCAGCTTTCGTGCTGCAAGGGATTATTTGGCAAGCCATGAACCGTTTGCTGACCTCGCGGGCATCACCCACTATTTCCCAGATTCATCTCTAAACTCAGAAAGCCATCGCCTCATCGACAGTCTTTATGGGCCTGAAAGAGCAGGAAGCACCTCAAACAACGAACCAAACACTTCGGGCGAGCTTCGCAAAACAGACACAGAGAAACTCAGCGGGTGGTCTCCAGTGCCCGACAGAGTGGGACAGCGTTTAGACGCGCAATTCAGCCTTTGGGACTCCAGTGAGAGTGAAAGCTGCAGCATTCATGCATGTCCATCCCTTCGCCGCACATCAACACAATGGACTACCGAGGGACGTGTAGCACAGTGGACATCAGCATCTCGCAGAGAAGAAACCTTCCCCGTTGCATTACGCAGCAGCTCTGTTTTGGAGGCTGATGAAACAAGTGTCTTTGGATCATTTTCTACTGAAGATGATGGATTCTGTATTGCCAATGTTTCCCGGTCAATAGACAAATTGATTAGCGACTTCTTGCAGAGACCCCGAAGAATCTCGCATGCAGAGCGTATGCTAGATACCTAAAACAGAAAAAGCCACCAGTTGTCATCATGCGTAACCACTGAAGGAGAAACTAAATTTTCAGCAGGTCTGCTGGACAATTACTAGGATGGAACGCGCCCACTGTTTTGTTGCCCGTTTGCCACAGGCAGCACAACGTTCCTCAGCCCAGGCGATAGTACGGTTGACAAAATTCCCCCTATGAGCCCTCTGAAGACAACTTCCGAGGGCTGGGCTGCAGTAGCAACTGCAGCGGCTTTTGCTGCTGCCTCGATACAGGATTCTGAAGGCTCATCAGTGACATTACTGGACTCAGCAACGAAGTCGGGATTGTGCACTGGGTTTAAACTCAATGCAAGTGAGATTGAGGCATTTTTAAGAGCTAAGATCAGGACAGAAGAAGTTGCTGCGAGGATTAGGAAAGAAGTTGCAGCGGGACGAGAATCTACGGGAGACCACAAAGGCATTCGGCCGCGGCCTCCTTTGGCAGGCAAGATGCTCGGAAAATCTCTGGTGCCAGGAACTTTCTTCAGGCCATCGCAGACCTCTAGCATGAAATACTCCACGTCCTTTAAGGAATGCGTATCCAAAAGCCGGAGAATTGCTCGAGGGTCGGACGCAAGGCCCTTCTCAGCTCTTAGGTCAGTCAGCAATAACAAAGGCAGCGCAAGGCTTCCCGCTAAAACACGATGCAGCTCCGATGAGTCTAACACAGAACGGCGAAAGGCAGGTACAGTTGGACCAGCTAGCGACCTTTCTGCACTAGGGAAGAAATTGCAGCCCGTAACGATCAAGAGTCGAGGCTGCTCATCAAAGTTGGATATTGGAAGCAACCCAGTAGGAGCTCCAGGGATGAACACTTCCATCTCATCTGCGGTTCTGGCTTCCGCACCGCCCAAAGACGAGGCACGTCACTCGCTGAAGGTCGAATCAGCCGATTCAGGGCCCCGTACTGTAACTATTGAGCCGCATCTATGGGACTGCGGCGCAGCTCGCCGCTGTCCCAGCACTCTTTTAACAAGTTATCAAACACACCCGATCGCTGAGGATTCAGGAGGATCTCTGACAACAAAACGGGCACTTCTTTTCACTGCATCTAAAGCTACTCCACCGAGGAGTCGAATGCAAGAGCCGGAATGCTGCTCTGCTGCACCTACTTCACCTTCTGTAAGTGCTGCATCTAGACTCCAAGAGGGTCCAGAAGAGTCAAAATCGTCAGCTAGATCAACGACTGCAAGTATAGCGGCACCAAATGTGGCTTCTGATTCAGCAGTTCTACCTCCAGCAAGTCCATCTGCAGCATGCACAGAGCTGAAGACACCGGAGGAAGCAATTGGCTTGTTTGTTGGGCTTCGAAGTGGGTCACATCCTGCTGTTGATGGCAGGTCAGTGGACGTTCCTGGTGAAGGTCCCTTCATTGCGACTCCTACTGAGCTACGAGTAACACTCTCACAAATTGCGGCACTTAGGCATCTTGCCCGCATCATCAGTAAGGTAAGATAGCTGCTGGCGTTTCCGCTGTCACTCTGAATAGTGGAATTTTCCCTTCCCCTTGTCTTTATCTGTACTGTGTGTTGAATATGTGACTGTCTAGTTTCCCGGCGGGCAGGTGCTTGTCACTTTTTTCCGCATAGGCTTTGAGAACTGCAACTATTAGGCAGCTGCGCAACGGTGCACGTAGGTTCCTGCGGAGGTGTCAAGGAAACCATAATAATGGAGAAACGCCTTTAGTTGACACAAAATCAAAGGAGGTACCGACACAACTGAATAGGATTACTCACTTCCTCCAGCCAATGCGCAACGAAGCCGGCCCGAATAAAAAACAGAGTATCAATGCTTTGCCTGAGTCTTTGCAAACTAGCGAAAACAACTCTTTGAAACTCGATAGCACAAAGTTGCAAGAATGCTCGAGTACAACTGCCGAAAGCACTGGCAGGCCGGTAGGCGCTGTCAGACCTCGAGTTGCCGACGGAGCCATCACCAGTAAAATGTCTTCCCATGAAGGCCTCCTGTCTCCACCTGAAGAGGAGGCTGAGACCTGCACAGACCATATTTTGCCATTTTGCGAGGTAAGAAATACTGCAAGCTCTATTCACAATTCAGCAGTCCGCCATGGTGAGCCTCAGGACGTTCAAAATTTTGGGGTCTCTCCACGAAGCTCAGCTCATGTGGAAGGCCTCGACGGTGCTATTGAAATAGCCGCTCACCAGGCTAATCTAACTTGCTCACGGGCTCCTAGTCCGATAGCGTGGACAGACTTCAGTGCGGCGCTCGTCGCAGCGGACGGAGTGCTAACCACAGCGGATGCTACTGCAGCAGAAGCTGCAGGACTATCTGCTGGAACGGTAGACGTGCAAGACGAGCGTAAGGACGCTTGTCAGCCCATGCGCTTAACAGAGCAACAAGCAGACAGCAAACAGGGGCCCATGCTGTCCGGATACAAAAGCCCTCTAGAGCACCACTATGAAGATAGGATCTCTGAAAGTGAACAAGCGCCGGTGTGCAATCTGTCCCCTTCTGCCGTGGGTGGAGAGGAAAGTGCTTCCACTAGCAGAGGTCCATTTGAGACTTTACAAAGGGGCGCGAGTATTGGAGGGGTGAAACTGGAGCCAAAGAAACGCTGCGAGCCCGTATCGCACGAGCAAGGAGGCCACCGGGAACCGCCGCAAGGAGGCTCTGAGGAAAAAGGGGAGGACGGCGAGAGCACTACTCAGATAGCGCGTTCATTGACAGACTCGTATAGCGAAATAAGCCTTTGCTGCTCAGTTGTGCCACAGTCGAAGATGGCCACAGGTTCTGAAGTCTGGGAAAACACAATTCGAGGTGCTGGTAGAAATCGAAATACTTCGGCGCCCGATGATATCTCAACAGCGCGCGAAAATGCTTTGATGCCAGCAAGTATTCTAACGTGTAAAGTAGGAGATGGCGCAGAGTTCGCAGTAAAATCACCAGAGAATTCCCAACAACGACTGTACTATGAGTCGCGCACATTTCCAAATCGGCATATATACCATAACCAATCCCTCCTATGGATATCACAGAGCACTAATTCGTGCTGCTCCCAGGGGACAAGGGTCGAGTCATCAATAAGGCGCAGCAGCCCTGATATACAAGAGAATGTTTCAGTCAGCTGTGGAGAATGCCTACCACTAGGCAAACGTATGGAATTCGAAGGAGGTGATTCTGAAGCAGTTGCACGTTTTGCCATGGATTCAATAGGGATGTTACAGCCCCTGAAAAATTCTGAAAATGTTCAGCAAGAACAACAGGGACTGCAGAGAAACAATTGTTTCAAGAACTATCTCCAGCATGAGTTGGAACACCTGAGACAGCAGCTTAGTGCTCAAAGAGAATTGATGAGCCGCCTAATTATTCAGAATGATTGCGGCACATGCAAAGCTCAGTTGTTCTCCGCTTCACGCCAGCAAATCTCAAGCACGCGTCGCTTGAAGGAAGTCCGCAGTCTGCAAATGATGGAGGAGGAAGTCCCCATGCGCGGAAAGGGGGGAAGTTCGTTGCATTCACCACTCCAATACTGCCAGCATACAGAGGTTAAGGTCCACCCGCAAATGAAAGAATCCGAACCCAAAGGGGATATACTCGCAGATCACGATGTTGTAGAAATGACCGCTGGAATGCAACAAGGCCCTGACGACACTGCTGTGCCCAGAGCTCACCAACAGCTTCCTCACAGGTCTTCAGATGCGAGCTCTCAGGAGCATCAATACGAGGGACTGGACCACGCGTCTAGCCGTGAAACAGGCGAGGAACAAGAAGTGTCTTGTGCACCTCGCATTGCCTTGGTGTCACTAATTAAGCGCGTGGAAGCTCTAAAACAGCGCTTCGCGCAACCTTCTACCATGAAACTGCCCGTTGGAAATGACCGAGGCAACGACAAACAGCCGGACGAGCGAGTCGAAGCACGCAGTACACGAGAAAATCCACTTTACTACATGAACCCCAAGCAACAGGGAAAGGCTCACATTCAATTCCGGAAGCGCAGGCAGAAGCTACAGCACCCCCAGACAAAGTTGTTGCCTGAGCTGTACGTTGTGGGGAAATCAATGGCGAGCGGGACTTTGAAGTCTGCAGGGGCTTCAAAAGCGACGCCTACACCAGATAATCACCCACAAGCATTTGCACTACCCAAGAGAACGCGCTTTGCGGCAGAAAAGTGGGGGTGCCAGCGCACTTGGCCTCCACTACCTATGGGGCAGCGGCGATTTACTACGCCGACATTCCCCGTAGAGCAGAATGAAGTGACTCATGGGCTGACCTCCGCCGCACGGTCGGATTTTCAAGGCGAGCGTTTCAGTCCTGGTACGCCACCGCAAAGCGCAAATTCTTCATGTTTTCCAAAAGAGGTGAATAAGAATGCACTACAGGCTACTAATCTTCCAACGGAAGCTCGAGGCATTACTTGTAGGGGACGCCATACGGAGGGGAAATTTTTTGCAGAAAGAGGTTGCTCAGGAGCCCTACATGAGAGGCCTTTTACTCCTCCAAGGAATAGCCAAGTGCGTGCTGATGCTAGACATGACAGCAGTGCCGGCAGCAGCTGGTGTATGACGTCAGCGCAGATGAAACTTTGCTGCTGCGGTGCTAGTTCCTGCCAAGTACAAGCACAGGCGACGACACTGACAACTCAGGCTACACTGTTGCAGTTTCGGCCCGTTGTTGCACCTTTGAGTTCAGCTCATGCGGATGTAATGAAAATGAAGAAGCACAAAGCTTTCTACAGCAAACAGAGGTGTCCGGAGACGTTAAGTGGTGTAGCTGCTTCTCTCTCTGGCAGGGTGCCGAAGGTAATGCTTACTAAATCTCGTCTGATACAACAGCAGGCACCGTCACAAAATTCCGTGCTTGCCTCTTTGTCGAACGTTGCATCTGCGGAAAATGTGGGATTTCACCTAGAGCAAGCGGTCTCGCTCGTTGATGCTTTGAAGAAAAGACCACTTGGTAGAGAAGACGACAGCAGCTTGGCTGATTCACGGACCCCGGAGGACGAAACATCTGGCCAACAAGTGGAGACCGAAATACAACAAATTCATCAAGGACAGAACAGACCCTGCTGCTACGTTCCGCTAACTTCACAACGCTGTCCTCTGCTCGTCCACTCTGGATCTACTGGTTCCAACAAGCAACACCAAGGGAAAGCAATGGAGCAGAAAAACACGAGAGCAGAAGAGCTCCCTTTGGCCGCTGCGTCGCCTGCATATTCATGCCACCAAGCTCAAGAAGGGTCGTCATGCCAGGAGGTTACGGAGACACCTCATCAACGAGCTCGCAAGAGACGAGAACGCCAGACCGCGCTTGCTTGCAAGTAGGTATTTACTTCCCCGAGTGGTGTGCTGAGATTTAACTGCATGCTGCTTTCATTTGTAGATGTAGCTGCATCCTGCACGCGGCTTTTCGTTTTTGGCGAGCTCTCGTTAGCATAATATATCCCAAGCCCCATGGACGTCTCAGTGTTTTCTGCCTTCAGAAAGAAGAAAGACCACCTCTGCTGTACAATGCAGCAGCGGTAAGGCTTAATACGTACACTCAAACCAGCAGTGTTTTGTCTAAAGCATTAGCCTTGCTTTATTGCTCAAACATGAGGGTGAAAAGTTGCCGTAGCGACCGCACTCAAAGGGTATTTGGATGTTAGGCCTATGAAATTGTGGAAGGCCGCAACTTTCATTTCATAAGTTGCGTCATGTATGTATGAGTGTGCGCACAGCGCGACAAACGAGCACTGTGGGAAGGGACCGAGGACCCAAGCAGAGGGGAGAAGCGCGCAGCAGCAACGGCGGCCTACCTCCATCGGAAGGGCACAGAGTGACGTAGCTACTGCACATCCTGTTGCTGCATTCTACCACATATTGCTCAAAAAAAGGGCATTCAAACAACTGCATATGGAAGCCACTAGTGTCGCTACGCTGATACAGCAACAGGATTCACGGCGAGCCACAGACTTGATGGCCCGATGCTTTCAATCCTGGAGGTAAGCAACTCACAAGACAATAGTACTTACAGTGACATAGATGATGCACTTTTCTGACGTAAGCACAATGCCTATCAGGTGGTGAGCATCGCTGCAGGGTTGCGGTGCTCCGCAAAGCCGTAATTACCCACGCAGCGGCAATCGGCAAGATGCACCAGAGCCAACATTTCTGCAACGCTCTGGCAACGTACGCAAGCTTTACATTGGTCCGCAACGTATTGTCTCACCTGAGGCAGCTGGCTGAGCAATCAGTTGTTCCAAGGAGGAGGGTATGTGACCTACTATTTCTGCTCCCTGTTCTCTAGTGACTTCGTAATTTCATTTTGTGTAGCTTCGCCAACCCACCGTAGTAAATGCCCACAGGCTACAGTAACTTTGGAGGCACGGAAATGAGGAGAGACATCTTTTTTCACTGGATGTGCGTCAGGTCCTTTGTCGGACGGCATTCCGTGCACTACAAGGCGCTGCTGCACTACACGCTACGGAAGAGGAGCATGAGGTAATGCGACGTGACCAAGCTTTATTGCATGTGCAGCTCCCACTTTTCTCCTGCCTGAGAAAAGCTTAAGTAAATAGACGATTGCCTTTGTTTGTCCCTTACAAGAAACTGCACTGAATGGTATAGCACGCATTTGGATAACGCCATCCCGCGCTTTCTTCCAGCACGCTTTTGTGTATTAGGCGGTCGAGAAATTGCAACGAGCCGCTCTTCGGCGACATATACTGGCCTGGTACCACGTGAAAACGCGAACAGCCATTGACAGGGAAAAGCAATGCCGCCAGCAGCAACAACACAAGGAAAAGCTCCAACAAGTCAAGAAGCAGCTGTGGGCAAAAGCCCTGAGGCATATGGCGGACTATGAGCGCGCCTGAAAGTAACAAGAATCGACGCAGAATAGCGGATTGTGTTCGGGGGGCTTGTGGACGGAAACTGCTTTTGCTCCTCAGGCTGTCTTGTGAGGCCTGCACTAGAGCAAGGAGTCTCTCCAGCGGGTTTTGAATGCACTAGAATCTCTTCTGCAGAGCAGCACTATGGTGCCGCATATGATCGGGCACTACTTACACTTATAAAGGCTTGGAGACTTTTAGTCATTTTCCGCTGACTCGACGTCGCAGAAAATCATCATGCACTACGAAACCTGACACCTATAAACGGCAAACCTTTCGGACCCACGGATGGCCAGAGGAATGGGACTTTTCCTGCGCTTCCAAGGTTAAGAGATGGCATACAAACGCGAAGGAGCAGCAATGTTGCTTCTGCATCCCCGTCCTACTCGCACTATTCTTACGCTGAAAGCGGCGTAGAACAGGAGTCCGAGGGGATAAGGGTAGCTGTAGCAGGATGCAGTTTACTTTTACTTCTACCAGTGTGAGACTTTGTCAATGCCATGTATTTCAGTGCACTTACGGCTCTTCGCCCAAAATCGATGGCAATATGGGAAAGCTTCCTAGCGACGGCAGGTGCTGCAGATGGTTATTATTGTTGAAGAACGACTCTGTTCTGAAGATGGTCCAAAGCGCAAGCAGATGCCGGAAGAGCAGACAGAGCACCAAATCGGACATGAAGCGTTAACATAAGCGCATTGAAAAAAATCTGTATAGGCAAAAACTGACTGGTGGATCACAGGGCGATTCAATGCCACGAGGTCTCTTGTGCAGCAGCGACTCTCAACTCTACAGCCATTCAGCAGCAGGACAGGCTAGCATACACACCTGCAGTGCGTTGTGCCACTTCTTTTTGCCTGCATGCCAAGCATTCGCCCAACATAAGGTGACAGCTATGAAGCTGAAAAATTCTTCTCAACCACACTTGGATTTGCAGCTTCACTGAAGCAGATGACAGCAAGTGCCTTTGGGCTTCAGCAGTAGAGATAACAAATCGACCACATTATGATACTTTCACACACACGGACTACGCTGGCAGAGATGGCTTACTTCAGCCAAACGGAAGAGTGTGAGAGCGACAAAACGTGCGCTCTTTCTCGTTGCCCAGAGACACCATCATTGCCTACCTCAAACGACGACACATGCAAAACGCCCTATGGCATCCACACATAAGCGGAGATTCCCTCCAGTACTGCCCATATACTTCGCCCATATGCCCATCTCTAAGCATGATTTGCTTTTTGGGTGGTGATACCTTCTCTCGACAAAATGCAACAGAAGTAGGTCTCTGTAGCTTCAAATCTAGAATGCGACTGCCAGGTGCAGTGAACCCATTGTACGCTCGGGAAAGTCAGGCGGGCATGCATCCAAGCATATGATGTAGGTTGAGAAAGGTTGCTGTCTGTAAAACAGCTTGCGTGAACTGTGCAGTGCACAGTTCAATAGGCTATGTTCGATTTGAAGGAATAAACTGGGGAATACTTTCGCGGGAGGCAGCATATTTTCCAACATCACAATCTCAGATGAATAAGACATCTGTGTCTTGTATACGGCGCGGGCCATGAACAGGCACATCACAATGCTGTATGCCCTTTAAAGGGCCTACGTCCAGGTAAAAGTATCATGTCCCGCTAGTCCATTGCTAGAACAGTCTGCGTTGGATATTACCTCAGTCTAGTCGCATAGCATTCAGTTTACAACATAGTTAAGCTACAACAGCTCGACATGTTCTGAAATATTTTTTGCCACGTATTTCTATGACAAGTGTGAACTTTAGTAGTGTGTTTTTCGGAAGCAAATGGAACTAAAAGCTGATAAAGGCTCATTTGTTCTCCTCGTCTGAGACATCTGGGCAACTACCACACCATTGCTTGCAGCGGGCATCACGCGGAGTACCCCAGCGATAAAGAATTTCCTCAAAGGTACAGCACTAGACAATAAAAAGTGGCAATTTCTTCACGGTATGTGAAAGTGGTAGATACGAGATGCCCCTGTTCCTGTAGTGCGCAGGCACCACAACAGCGCTTGCCTAGAGGATAGCTAATTGATGACCTATAAGCACTCATGAGGTACAGACGCTGATTAGAAGCTGTAAACTTCTTGCTAGTGTAACAGAAAAGTAATTCATTAGCAAAACAACATGTATAAACTTGAAATGTCTACGAATACCCTAAGGTTGGGGCTGCCGACATCGCCGGCACATCCTCACCGGACCAACAAAGCAAGAACCATGAGAAGCGACTTTTAGGGAAAATATTTTTCAGAACTTGAAGCGAAAACAGTCTTTTTAATAAATTGATAGACGTTATGTGACCGGTGCGTCGATAGTAGGGAAGATTTCATAGAACGCGCACGTTGTGACGTCAAGCATCGTAGTGGGTGCAGAGAACGCGGTATACTACAGTTCCTGTCCCACAGTAAAGCTGTGCAGTTACTTCAGAGCATCTGTTCAACATAACAAGATTGGAAAATCTGTCTGTAGTGTTTGGTGCACTTCCAAAATGCCACATAGAAAAATCTTACAGAGGTTATGTAAATGGTCTTGGGACCCAGCGGGCCCGTGTCCAGAGCGGTGGTGCCTCAGAAAACGATGAAACTAGCATAATCATTATCTTCACCCGTTTTCTTGTGGCGTTTCAATGCACAATCGACTCCCTCTCTGGGAACTGTCCATATTTATATCCGGCAGATGTATGGCAACACTCCCATGTCATTCCCATGTCTTCTACGGCGCACGCTGCTATGAATTTCTTTTCTAAGGTAACAGTTAGTATGGCAATATCAACCGAGAGATTGTTTGTCATATTGTACATTTGGCGCGTTCATTCCGTTGCTAGTGCAACATACATTTTGAGCATCAATTGTGTGAACTAGTGAGCCTCATGCTACTAATGTTCAGCCGAAACAATATCCTAGAAGCATTTCAGAACAGTCTACGTCTATAAAGTAAATGTTTCCTCTCAACTGTTGCATACGGGCACCTTACAAGTAATATGTCAGCTTCTGTGCTAGACACTATGCAGCCCACGCCTAGCGCTAATGCACTTGACGCCAGCATTGTGAGTTAGCACTGGGCATCAAGTCGCATTGCGGATAGAAGACCACCACTTCAAATATCCAAGCCTCTCTACCTAGAGCACAAACATATCCATTCACTCCTGTTCATTATTCATGCATTGAAGTCTTTTACAATGCACTGAAGTCCAGGGAGTCTCGCTGGAAACCCAGCTCTGCTACAGCGTCGCTGTGCGATAGCAGTATCGTCACAGGCTCTCAAGCGGTGAAAGCGGATACAACTGTAATTGGAGGCAGTCATGTAGTTCACTAGCTATGTTCAGTATTCTATGAAGTGTGGAACTCACACAATAATTCGGAGGCCTGGTTTATTTCACGCAGAAGCATTCCTCATCAAATCACTGCCGAACTGTTGCCAAGAGTAAATACCGCATTATGGCTATTCGCTGTTCGTGGGCAATTTTTCCCCATTAGATTCCGCCATGTTTTGTGATGCTTTCCTATATCCTAAAGATTTTAGGAACCTAGAGCAGTAAATACAACAGATACATGCGAAATTATGACAATGTTTGCACCTGCGAATTCTCCGTTAACTATGCTGTAAACAGTAGAACTCGTAATGCCATCTGCATCCCCGTGCAACCAGCTATTAGGTGTTTCGTGTTCTGTAGTATGATATCGTGATTCAATTACTTGCACTGCCTGTACATTTTGCTGCTTTGAAGCTTTCTCAGGCTCAAAGTGCATTAAAAAAGTCCTGAGGCACTGATAGCTCGTGCTAATGGCATCGCCACATACTGTGGCTCGCCACTACTGAGGTATGGGGCCGCTTCAAAAACCAAAATTTTTTGTTGTTGCGCGCCTCTCAAATATTCCAATAAAATGGGCCATTAATGGTATGTGTCTGCTGGACTGAACAGTTCGTTCTGCTCCTCTGCTCAAAGTCCCCAATATGCCATATTTGCATCCGTTACAGGGCTGCCACTCCTCAGTTCTTTTAATTCGCCAGGCGTGGACAGGGGGCTCCCTGCATGATGTTGCGACGCTCATTAGTCAAAAAATCAGACCTCCAGCCGGACAGTCTATTGACTGTATTCGCGCGTGTCATTCTGCCGCCTGCTGCCCCTCTCTTGGTCGCCGCTGCTACGACTGTCTTCGAGACAAGAAGGTCAGGTTGATCTCTTTTCGTCGCCATAACGTTCTGAATATCCAGCGTGGAGCGCCTTTTCTTGGATCTATATATGCAGTAGCCCTGCTGCAATGAAAAACACTTGGACTCAGGTATATTTGGCGAGTATACCCCTACCCCGTCCCTTTCCCATTTCTTGGAGACACCGGAAGTTGTCATGGCACTCCTGGCGACCGCATTTTCCTCCGAGAGCTGCACTGTTTTTCCCCAAGAAAACATGTATAGGGGACAAATTTTATGGAACACCCAATTAGTCAATTTCCTCCGTGTGAGGAAAAATGCCAGCTTCTGCTCTCGTGCAGCTCTTACCGCTCCCCATGGGCGTCATGTTTGGAGGTTGAAACTCATTTAGTAATCATCTTGCTATAGATTTCCCAGCCAATGACTCTCCCTAGCCTATACAGCATTATCTGCGAATAGGCCAGCAGCTTGGCACACAAGGTCGTTTAAAATACCTAAGCGAAGATTACAAAGGGTCTGTAGGATGGGTGCTCCACATTCCGGTACACCCTTTACTCCAATTGGTGGCTGGCATCGGTCTCTTGATTCTGTAGCATATAAAATAGAGAATTTGACTTGTACCTTATAATCTTACCAATAAGTTCCTTCAGAGTAACATCTAAAGCGCATATTGGTGCCCCCCTACTTCGGCTGCAGTAGCTAGTTCATTTTGCATTAAGCGCAATGCCGATTCGATTCTTTCGTGGTACTATTTTCCCAGCCATCATCACCTTCTCACTGAGACGTCATGTGTGGCTCCCCCCGGGACTCCTATCTGTACTGT